TAGAATTGAAACGCGTCTATATAAATCTAGCACTTGGTCTGTTCTACATCGCATATCAATATGGCGTCGAATCCTCGGTGCGTCGCATTTCTGTTTATCATCTTAGGTTGACTATATCAGGTGATGTAGAGAAATTGACTTTCGAAAATTTAATTATATTAATTAAATAAAATACAGTATAATATTTCCATCTTTGAATTAAGGAAATCTGGGAAATTTTTAAGGAAACGACAAAATTTATCTAAATATCTACTCTTAATAATATTGTACGTTAGTAATGTATTATTTAAATTCTATTATACACAATAATAGCCCTTATTAACATTAATGCGACAAATGAAGAGCACGGAGCGAAACAAAATTACTTAGTTTATTTCATTTAATAAAGTAAATTAAATAAGGAAATCAAGTCTGTTAATATTTAGAAGTAAATTTAATAAGTGTCAAGTTAAGAACGATATTTAGATATTTTCAAATATTCTAACTTCTACTTCAATTATTTTTAATGTCATTTATTAACTTCAAAAGCTTCTATTTTATGTAAATAATTGTAAAATAATAGTGAATAATAATATAAATCATTACCTTAAACAATTATAACGCGATATATAACCGAAAAAAATATCTTAATAAATCGATATTTCATAATTTTCATTTATTTACAACCAGTCAAGCACATCAAACAATTTAATTAAAATTAACTAGTGACATTCATAACTTGATTCGCGGTATAATTAAACATTCTTAAAGGTAAACTGTTCAATGATGCATTGCTGTCAATTTAACATTGAAAAATCTTTACTTTTTAATATTTTTTTTCCTTCTCTTTGATGACTTTAATACTCAGCCTAAACAAATTTTGATCCTATTTATGGTCGAATGAATATCTCGACACATAGATTGCTCGTTTCGGCATTATCCACATATGGTTAATCGAACCATCTGTTCAGAAATTGTAATTTCAAAACTGTCACTTTAATTATATTAAGTAAACTTAAAGAAGTTATATTTTTATTTACACCATGCTTTAACGCATGAAAAGTAAAATAAATCTTATTAAAACTTATAAGTTTTCAAATTGCAAATTATCATGTAAGCATTATTTATTATTTAAATGTAATTTTGAAAGTACGAAATAATGAATATTGATTTTTCTATAATTTTTAAATGTGAAAGTAATTATTTTTAGTAAATTTTAGTATTTTAATTTTATTTAAAGATAAAAGATGGCGACACGTGTTTTAGTATATTTTAATTTTTGCTATTATTCATAAAATTGAAAAAATAATTAATTAAATTAATGTTTTAAAATGTAAATTAATAGGTTATATTGATAAAATAATTAATACGTTTGAAAAAGTAATTTATAAAATATTTTCATAATTTATGTAAAAAAGTATAAATGTTTAATAATTATAAGAAAGTGTTAAGCATTTATTAAATAGAAAAAACAAGGACATTGGAAATTATAAAAAGAACTTTATTTCAGTATAAAAAAGGCTTAAAAGAAAGGTAATATAAAATATTTAAATATTTTCTCTGTACACGATATAGTAGCCTGAGTTGAAACTAGATGGCGGTACGAATCAGTACGTCTTATCAATACGAATGTTGGATACGTCCATTATTATTAAAATACTTTGTACTTGTAATTTCTGTAAATATTTATATAATTATTAATTTTTTAATAATTATTTTAAGTATTTTAACATATTAAAATAATAAAAACTTCATTTACTATTTAAGAAGCCTAAACAGTTCATTCACTGTTATAAGTTTTAAGTATATTTTATTAT